GGTATTGAATCATGATTTACAAAAATCAATTATTTCTCTCCCTGTATCAGATTAAGTTCAATACATTTAACAGAAAACCTAAAATTTCATTGCTTTAGCACACAAAGGCCCAGAGCAGGTTGGGGTCTTCAGGGATCCAGGCTCCTTCTAACTTTATGCTCATGATCCTCAACAACTGGCTCCTGGCTTCTAATCAAAGTGTCCCAGGTGACTGCTCGAGTGCCAGGCATCACATCGTTGTGGATATCAAGAAATACCATTGGGGGAAGCAAACAAAAAAAAAGACCCCAAAAATCTGTCAGCTGAATTAGCTCCTTTAAGACACTTTCTCAGAAACTATACACAGCATTGCACTTGCTTCTCGCTGACCAGGATTTAGGACACGTTGCACTTAGTTCAAGGGGTGGGGAAATAATGGAAAATAATTCTGCATGGGTAAAATCATAGCTCTGCCTCTAAGAAAGAACTAGGTTAGGGGATAGTTGGTAGATAACCCGTGGTCTCTGCCACCGTCCCACAAAATACCAAGGAACACGTGTTTGTCAGTGACAAGTGTCCTCCTCATGTTTAACTTCAATATTAAAACATCAATATCAAATTAATATTTAATATTAATAATCAATACTTTTCATAGTAACTATTTATGTGTTTGTATATTATATTTCATTATGTATTTAATATCAATTAATAGTAAATTAAAACATTAAATCAAAGCAACTCAAACTTTTTCTTCATTTTCTTCCCAGTCTGAAACAAAAAGAAATAATCATGATAGACTATGATTACTTACTATGACAAATTTGGTTCTGACAGATTCTTAGCCACACCTATGATACTCAATGTCAGCTACACCCAGAAAAATAAAAAGCCAGAAACATACATGGTGACAAACTGGCTCATTATGAAAAGAATACATCATGACACCTATTCGCCAAAATGGCCTCAGGATGCTGTGTGCTGCTTACACTATCAGGGCTTTTATTCAGACAGATTGGTTTTTATTCAAACAAAATTTGGTAAATTTTGGGATAGGCCTGACCAAAAACAATTAATGTCAACATGTAATTTTTTTTCTTAATTATGGATTAGCAGAATAAATTGACTAAGTGACAATGAACATGCCTTTTACTTCAATTTGGTTGCCTTGTGTGTCATTGTCTACCCTCCAATGTATGGCATGCTTAGGTACAAAGTTCAGAGTCAATATCTGGCTACATAAGAAAACAGAGTGGGGGTTCTGCTTTGTGGGAGGTGAGAGGCAAGATGGTCTTGAATTTGGGTCACAAGGGACAAACTTCCTTAGGACACATGGCCGTAGACCTGCGGCCTGAGGCCACCTGTTTCTAACTCTAGTTGGCTAATTGTGTTGTTTACCTGTTAGTCTTTGCAGGTTCCTCTCAGGGGATCCTCTGTTCCATGTGCAGTCTTGTCCAAATGCAGACTCTGATTCTCTAGGTCTGAGGTGGGGCCTGAACTCCCTTCCTCACAAGCTCTCAGGTGCTGTGGACAACACTGAGCAGCCAAGAGCTGGTGGTACAGGGGGAACCTGATAGGACCTCACGAACAGTTTCCTGTTTCGTGGATCTGGGGGTGGAACCCAAGAATTAGCATGTCTAACAAGTTCCCAGGTGATGCTGTGGCTACTGGTCCAGGAATCACACTTCAAGAACTTCAGTGTGGGTCTCAAATACCTAAGAAATATCTCAAATAGGTAAGCGATCCCTCTTATAGAAGACCTACTATGGACAAAACATCTTTGTGAATTTGGGTTTTAAGTTTTATGTAAATGAACTATGTAAATGTCATCCACCCTTAATTCCAAAATTTTCTACATATTTTATAGCAGAGACAAAGCCACAGCAAGGAAATGCTTTCATTTCCACTTTGCGTTAGAGAGTTCCTTTTCTTTTTCTTGAACTATAGCTGGCAGAAAATAATTCTGCATGAATTCTTAGTGTGAAATCAAGGTAAAACCTTGAGTATTTTAAAGGAAACCTTGAAGTTCTTTTGGAAACTAATGATGCCATGTTATTGTATTTAAAGGTCCCGAAACATGGGCAAATAAAAACAGACTGCAAATAGGTAACTGTTGCACAATAACGACTAGATTTTAACAAGTTTAAAATCCTGTACATTCTCAGGCCAAATACAGAGGAAAGCCATACTTCTTCATTTTTTCCCTCTAAAGTTATGAAATAAACAACATTCAACTCTACAGATTGGTTTTGTTTGGGATATTTTATTCCTATCAGTCAAAAAACTTACTGTAAGAGGTAGAGATTTTTAAATAATTTGATCTGTATTTACAAATTGTATATTATAAATCTACTTTACACGTTTGTTTTTATAATGTTTCTTATATACTGTACTTAGTCTATGTATTTGAAAATGTTATTATTTTATTGTTGGTAAGAATTTGAGGTCAAGGTGTTTTTTTAATGCAACACTATGCTTTCAAAGCGTTTTTTAAAAAATTATGTTTGCTCAATTTTATTGGGCCCTCCACAATATAGGAGTGTCTATCCATTCTGAGTAATGCTTTCTCCTGCTGTAGTTTTATTTTCTTTCCCCTACATAATTAGAAAGACCGAGGTAATGTCTGGCCAAATGCAAAGTTCCTTCAGATTCATTAGAAAAGCAGATAAAAGAGTCCAGAGACATGAAGTGATGCACATTGTTTGCTTGATTGACTAACTAACCTAATGATGATTTTTAACTAGAACAGGACTTTTACAACTAACACACCATAAAAAGGGAGTTAGCTTTTCCTTTCTATGATAATAAAAATCCTCAACTCTAAAATATCTATTGTGTACATTTTCCAAATAACATAGCACACTCCATTTTTAACAAGTAGATATATGCCTAGATATCAAGTGTTATAAAATACTTTAATAGACTCAGGAGGAATTAAAAAGGCAGTAAAGTTAAGTCAGTATTTAACGAAGCTCATTTATAATGATTATATTAATCTTTATCTATTTTGATGTTTCCATGGACTTTTTTACATGAATCAAGAAAAAGAAAATTTAATTTTACCTAACTATAGATTTAGCTATAGAAAAATAATTGAGAATGATTCAATTACTGACAATCAATTTATATGAAATAATCCATAAAATACAATGCTTTATTAATAAACCAAATTTGTAAACAGTCCAGTGGAGTTTCAAAATGTTCATCAATCATGTAATTAACATTTCATTTTGAGTGTAAACAGAAAATGACTATGAATTTCCTACATAAATCAAAAACCAGTCACAGTTTCTCTGTGAGATAAATTTCATTGATATTTGAAAACACTTTAAGTAGCCAAAGCTTCGTAGCACAAATTCATTTCCCTCACTTTCTAATAATCCTGGCAAAACTGTCAGTGTTTGTTCTTGCTGGCCAAGCAATCTTTCTTTGGCCTTTAACTGTACTTTATGTTCAGATATAAGTTTTCTCTTCCCTATTGAAGCAAAGTTAAGAAATAAGAAGACATAAACAAACACATGTAAGTTAATGTTTGGTTAGCAAATTTTAACCGTTCAGAAAACATTCTGCACCTACATTAAAGAGTATTACTTATCATGGTATTTGATATATTTCCAAAATGTTAATATTACATTTTAGAATTTCAAAACTGGTATCATTGTCAGAGTAACATGTATGTCAGACTACAGAAATTGTATTTCCCTCCAAAATTATTTTCCTCACAATGACTATAAAGTCATAGAATGTGGACAGCTTATAAAATAAAATCTTACTTATTAAAACTTTTTTATTCTGCTCTAATATCCAATTTCATGCCAAGAACCACCTTTAATAGGAACTGCTGAGAGTAAGGAGTCTAGTCACAAAACATTTAAAAAAGTAACCACTTAATTTTTTAATAGTTAACTAGTTCGTAGTTTTATGAAAAACCAGTTTTTACTGACTAAGAAATTTCTGTGTGATGTATGCTTTTATTGTTTATAAATATACTATATAGTTTGGCACAGAAAACTCTTAAAAATATTACTTAAATATATGGTTTCTTTCTAAATTAATAAGATGTAGTATCCTATTAAAATATTAGGCATCTAAAATAATTTATTAACTTAGATGTTCATTCATCTATCATTCAACACGTGTTTGGTAGGTGTTGCTCGTGTGATGTATGCTGTTATTGTTTATAAATATACTGTATAGTTTGGCACAGAAAACTCTTAAAATATTACTTAAATATATGGTTTCTTTCTACATTAATAAGATGTAGTATCTTATTAAGATATTAGGCATCTAAAATAACTTATTAGCTTAGATGTTCATTCATTTATCATTCAACACGTGTTTGGTAGGTGTTGCTCTAACAGGTTTCAGTTTTTAGCATACACACACCAGACTCACTTTATTTCTGATTTTCCACTTCCTTATGGTCATTGCCCATGTAGGCGGAGTATTGCGTTCCAGGATGAGTGAGTGGCCACTCCGTCTACAGCACGTGCAGAGGTCTAAGCACTGAGGTCCGAGCTGCAAGCCTAATGCCTGCAGGGCTTGTCCCACAAGTGCCTGCAGAGGGTGGGCCTGTGGCAAAGGAGGGAGTGCGTGTTCTTGCCAAGGTATTTATGTTTTTAAAAAGTAACTATACATCCTGACCAGCAAGCAAAACAGATTTGTGGGTCTAAGTCAACCCCTGGACATCAAGGTTGCAAGTCTTTCATGGAAATCCTCTCATGTGATCCTTATCAACTCCCTGGCTCGAATTGCTGTAAACTTGTCCTGCTCCAAGTCCTTCCCAATCCCAGAAGCTGTGGGAGCCTGATAGGCATTCACAGGGGCAGAGACCAAGGACCCGCTCCCAGGGCCCTGAAAGTGCACCGCGCCAGGAGCGACGGTCCCCAAGTGAAGGCTGACCGCAGGACACCCACAAACCCTCCACCACCAGCCACTGGGGCAAGGAGCAACGCTCTGGCACCAAAGACAAAATCCCTAAAAGCAGGAGTCTCCCCGAGGTTTGGAAGAAAGTGTTTGTCATCTAAAACAAAAATTCATTTTTATTAGACTCCGCAATACCCAGCTCTCTCTCTTCCACAGGATACAAGTAACAAAAGATGCTGAAAGGGGCGATATGTACAGGCTCGCAGAAGAAGACGGACCCAAGAAACTTATTTCTAGAGAACACGAAGCTATGTCAGACTCGGGAATGGAGGAGCTTGACATGTGTAGTGACTTATCCACACCACTCGGAGTTTGCCTCCGGTACGTTAGCAGAGGCGGGGTCACGGTTAGGTTCAGTGAACGCCTCCATCTGCAGCCGCAGGTGGCACTCTCTGAACAGGCCCCTCACTTCCTTATACACGTCTTGGCCAGCGTCCTAAATTTGGGTTCCAGATGATCGAGAAACTCCAGCCCTTCCTCCTCCTGCCGGTCACTGCAGCAGCCCACAGAGCCGGCCATCGACCCCTTGCCCTCATAGTTGTAGGAACGGACGTAGTCCTCGGAATGTTTGTGCTCCTCGTCTTGTCCACACAGATACACTTTCTGTAGCAAAAAGAGCACATTTTATTATTTTTTAAAAACACCTAAACATTTTAGCATAAAAAGAATGTCTTTGATTTACCTTTGACTGTTTAATTTTTAATCAGAGTGTGTCCTCTAATGGATTCCTACACATAAAAAATGCACATGATTGGTCTGTATTATAGTCATTCTTAAAATATAGCAAATATATCAATGCTGCCAGGGGAAACATTTAGGACGAACTAAAGTTGCACATATATCACACAACCGACTGACTAGTTCCCATCTGAACTTCAGATTAGTGTCATTGAAATGGGCCTCTGTAACTTCGCGTATTTGGGGAAACCAGAGTCGGCTACGATTCTTATTGTTGATACGCTATTAAATAGCTATCATAATGTATTCTATTAAACTGGCTAATATTAACCTATGTTGATTAACCTGGACATAAAACAAGAAACTGAAAACCCCGAATAAAACTTTAAAGTTTATCTGTATGGTGTTGACAGCCAGCATTTTATAACCATGCGAAGGCGTCAACACACTAAGAAATGTTTATCATTTATGATGCGGGGATTACCCTCTAACAAGTGTTTCACTCGGGTGACTTTCCTTGTAACTTTTAGGGAAGACGCTATCAGTCTTTGTACACTTCCTAAACGTGATTACATCTGCCGCTCCTAGGTAAAGTTCTGCAAACCTCATTTTAAAAAGCGAACTTCACAAAATCATTTTTCCCTTTGGGATTGGATTTGACATCCATGTCTCTAATAATTCAACATCTAAGAGATGAGGAACTCAGGGTGGATGACGAGTAACACTTTGGGGACATCCTGATTGGCAAACAGTGTTAACTTCCATGTAATACGAACCAAAGACACGGCACTCACCTCGCCAAGCCGGGGCTGGGTAAAGCTGTGCCAGTCGGTGTACGTGTATCTGCCAGCCTCCATCACGCCCTGCCCTGCCCCCTTCACGGAGTCCAAGGTCTGGTGTCCGCCTCCGCCTTTGACCATCTCAAAGCTCTGCTGTGTTTTGATGCCCTGGCCCCCAAGAGTGCCCACAGACAGGCTTGTGTCGCAGACGTTGGAGGTCTGTGTGGGGAGTCTAATGTTTGCCTCCTAAAAACAGAGTGAGAGTTAGAACATGAGTGACTCCAATGGAAGCTAACAGCTTGCTTTCATGTCTCTCCCGCCACAGGCAAACCACACCCTTACTGTGCCTCTCAGTTCCCCAAACACCAAGCCAAGACAATCACGGTCCCCTAGCATAGGGGTTAGGGTTGAGTGGTGGCCCCCCAAAATGTTTATGTTGAAGCCCTAACTCTTAGTGCCTCAGAATAGAATTCTAGCTGAAGGTAGGGCTACTCAGATGTTATTAAAGCAGTGGTTCTCAACCTTCTGGCCCTTTAAATACAGTTCCTCATGTTGTGACCCAACCATAAACTTATTTTTGTTGCTACTTCATAACTGTCATGTTGCTACTTCATAACTGTTATGGATCGTCATATAAATATCTGATATACAGGATGGTCTTATGCTACCCCTGTGAAAGGGTAGTTCGACCACCAAAGGGGTCACGACCCACAGGTTGAGACC